AAACCAGGGAACAAGGGAATGAATAAAGACCAGACCAGGCTTACAAGACATATTAAAGGGGAACCTTCACACAGATAACCAATGATACAAAACAACCGGAGACAGGCACACACAAAACTGTCACTCGGGTGCCAATCCAGAGAAAGAAATCTCTCAAAGCTACATCAAAGCAGATGGAACTATATTGCAAGGCCCTGGCACGTTGGAGCTTCCCCAGGCAGCCTACGGGCACCAGCACACCTAAGTTTCTGTGAATGTATGATCTTGAAGATGGAAAACTATGAGAAAACTTTAATATCTGCTATGAAATATTACTCCGACCAGTGCTCAAGTACTCAGACACAGGACATAAAACTAGTTGGTCCCGGGACAATAATGGCAGCTGATGAAAATCATGGTACTAGCTCATAACTAGTGACTCACGCCACCTCTGAGACCCCCAAGTGCCCCTGTTCTCTCCCAACCTCTTTCTCTAGTGTTCATAGCCAAGCCTTCCCACAGGAATTACAGGGGTAAGGATAGGTGATCCCACGGCCTAAGTCCACTCTAACTGGTAATTTCCCAGGACACACACACACACACACACACACACACACACGCACGCACGCACGCACGCACAGCAAACCCAAGACTAGTGACTGGATTCTGATTCATAGCAGCCAAGTATACTGTCTCCAAGGATATAAATCTTTACAGGAACAGATAGCCTCGTCTTTCCCCCACAGAGCAGCTAATGGACTTTCACCTGCTGACCTTGTGGCTCACAGTCCAACACTTACCCAATGATGCCATCAGCGCTCATGATCACGGTGGTTCTTAAGCATTGTGAATATACCTGTGTACGTGGCCCCACGTCCCTAGCCTGAAGTCTCTCTAGAACTCCTAGCTAGCTCAGACAGCAGCTTCCTCCATATTTGAGCTCCCACACCGAGACATCCCACATGCACCCGACTCAAGCAGAACTCCACGTGTGTGTCCTTTCCCAAATCTGTTCCTCTTACCTTGCCACCAACCAACCGGGGAAGAAGTGCAGGGCCCTCCTCAAGGCCTTCCTCACCCCCACCCCCACCCCCACATGCAGTCAGTCGCCAAGAACTGATGCTTCAACCTCAAGGGCTCCTATTTTACCATCCCTGGAGCAAGGCCCCTCTCACAGCTAAATAGCTTTTACCTGGATGATGGGAACAAACTGTGAGTCACTTAGCTCAGGGAGTCTCTTCTTTTAAAGACAAATCTTATTGTGTCCCCCAAGTCCTGCCTGGATAGAGTCTCAAACCTGAGCATAGCACTCCAGGCTCCACTCATTCCAAGCCCTTTGGTCATATTTGCTACCTCACTGCTCCAGGTGGATGAAACCTTTTCTAAATGTGACCCAGGCCCACAGAGCTCTGAGCCACTGTACGTGCTGTTCCTTCTCCCTACAATGCTGTTCTCTCCTTTCAAAAGAAATGCAAACACTCAACTTCTAAGCCTGGGCTGGAGTGCTCCCTTCTCAGGGAGGCAGCTTAGTGCTGAGGGACGAGTAGGAGTTATACAGACCCTCAGGGGATTTGAACTTTGGGCACACCATCTCCAAGTGTCTAATGGATATGATGTCTGTGTGGCTGGGTTGTGATGTGGATTAGCAGAGACCATGTGGGTAAATGCTCCACGGAAGTGTTCCATCAGTGGGACGTCTATTGACTCCCGGTTAGGATTACACCCCTCCAAACTCCCCATGTTCCAACGGGTACTGCAACAATGAGGGCAGCTCACTTTAGAAGGCACAGGTCAGGCCAGTTCAAGAAAGCCAGCGTGGAAATCCCCCTTGTGGTGTCCTTCGATTCAACTAGAGGGTGACCAGAGGAGCTGGCAAAGAACCCAGGTCATGTCACCCGAGAAGGAAGACATTTAGAGGTAATCGTGTAACTGGAACGGAACCAACGGGCCCATTAACTGACCTGACAAGAGTCTTTTCCACCAGGCATATGGCCACAGATCATCCCTTTCTTGACGACATCCCTCAAAGTGGACATGGCCTGCTTAATGACGCTGTTACAGTAATCACGGTTGACGATGTACTGCTCGACCTTCTGAAGAACTGCTGGAAAAGGAGCCATATCTACGAGCAAAGACCGTCAGCAGTTTCCTGATACATACAGAGAGACAGGCAGTCCCCAAACACCCATCATCCCACTGGAAGAAAGCAGGGCCGTGGGTTCCCATTGGGCACAGGATGAAACTGAGGTCCCACGCTGCCATGAGGAGAAAGGAGCAAAACCAAGACAGGGGAAGAGAGGACACTTCAGAAGACGAGGCTTCATCAAGAGTCCATCACTGACCTTGGCAATAGCAATACCGGGGGGCACTCTATGCATCACTGTGACATCTTTACTTTCCAGAGCAGCGCCAAAGACTCTAGGACGGGTCGCCTCCGTGATACCAAATCCAGCCCCTTCCCAGGGAAGCAAGTCCTACCGCCTCTGACTACCCCCTCCCCAGAAGTACCAAGGCAGGTGCTTCGACTGAGGGCAACTCTGACCGGCAGATAGCTTATCACACACACACCCCACGCTGAAATTCACAGCTGTAAATACCCCACAGTATCTGGATCTGTCCCCGGGGTGCCACAACATTAATATCCCGAAATCAGAGAAAAAAACAATGCTTTCCTGTGGCACCGATTCTGACTCCTGGCAATCCTGTGCGTGCAGAGAGAACTGGGCTCGGCAGGATGGTCCAGGCTGTGTCCACTAGGTAGCAAATCAACAGGCCTTTGTCCCCAGGCGCATGAGTGGGTCTGACCTGTGCGCCTTTCAGTTAATGGTTCGGCCCTTAACCATCTGCCCCACCCAACGACTCCCAGTTTAGGCACTCACTGCCATTAAGCTGATTCCAAATCACAGCGACCCCCCAGGAGAGGAAAACTGGCCCTGTGGATTTCCAACACTGTAACCCTTTACAGGAAGAGAACGCCTCATCTTTCTCCTGCAGGGTGGCTGGTGGTTTCAAACCGCTGATCTTACAGTTAGCAGCTCAACGCATGGCCCACTGCGCCAGCTGCCCACAGTCCCCACAGATCTATGGGAGGAGGCTTCACACGGGTTCCTTCTCCTGGCTGAGCAGCTCCAGTTCCCCCAAAAAAGTGTCTCTCCTAGTCACTGCCATCAAATATTCGTGTTGAAACAAGACCTCGGTCAAACAGGGAACCATTGTCCTGACTGCTGAAACACTGCCCGCCTCACCTGACCCTTACCCCCTGCCAGGGAGTGTGCTTCCCATTAGCCATCATGGCTACTCCAGGGCATACGGCTGTCCTCTGCCCCCTGCCCCCAGCACTGCCCCAAGTTTGTCTCCTGCCTGACAAATCTCACCGCCTTCTCCCTGTCGGCCCCATCCAGTCACCCAGCACTTGGTCCCAGCTGCCACCTGGAAGGTCTCCTGTGGGATGCAGACAGGCTTGATGGTCGAGGTGAAATTCACAGGGTAGAGCAGATGGAGAAGGGCAATGTCATGTTCAATGGTGACAGTTTTTGTGAACTCAGGGTGGATAATGATGTTTTTGACAGGGACTGTCACAGTTGTGTTGATTGTATTATAGAAACTCACATCTCCCATCTTGACCTTGTATTTGAAACGTCTGAGGAAGAAAGGACACACTCCTAGTAGAGACCCTGGGACGCACCTCTTTGTGCTTTTCCCCTGAGTTTCCGGTACCTCCCAAGCTCCCTCACTTCCCAACCTCCCAAGACCCATCCTCAATCGCTCTCAGACTTGGCTTCTCACCCTACTTTCCTCCCATATTCCCAGCCAACCACTACTCCTGGGGGACCCTTCCCATTGTTATCGTGTGCTTTCTGGTGTGGCGTGGCTTCCTCTTTTGCCAATTTGCCAGGACAATCGGGCTCAGGGGCGGTTTGAGCACAAGACTGGGCGCGGGCCTCTCACCTCTCCAGTGCTCACCTGACAATACAGTGAGCTGCGGTCAGCACCCACTGATCGGCGATGAGCGAGCCTCCGCAGACGTGTGTGTCCTCAGCCCTCAGACTCACCTGCCAGGGCCACTCCCCATTTTTAGCATCCTCTCCTCCTAGGATTTTGACATCCGTTTGGCCACACCCTGGGGTGAGAAGGGCAAGAAAGACTCCCTGAAACCGTTCCTCGCGGAGCCCGGTGGCTTCCCCGAAAAGTACGCACCCCAACACATCTTGAACCGGCCGACTTCCCACCAGGGAATGCGGTCCCCCGCAGACCCTGCAGGCAGGGCCTGGGTGCCCCCGGACCCCCAGGCAGCGCTGGGTCCTGCTCCCCGTGACTCAAACCTCTGCCCGGGCTGCCTACGGGAAGAGTCACCTGGACCGTTTATGAGCTGGGATCCAGGGACGCCGAAGGATGGCAGATCATTGGCAGGCGGTGGATTCTGCAGACCCCCTGCGGGGCGCCGACGGCCACCCCCTGAGGGGGAAGGGTGGGGGGGCGACACCCACGTGCCCCGCGCCCCCTTGGCGCCCTCCGGGGCTTCGCCGAGCAAGAGCTGAGGGAGCGGGAGCAGGAGCAGGAGCAGGAGACCCCACGGACGGCCGCGGCTGAGGGGATCACCCAGGGACGCCATGGGCACGGCCCGTGGTTCAGGCCTTCTCGTGGCGCCCCCTGGCGGCCGATCCCGCCCCGGCGCGCCTTCTGGCCGGAAGTGGGGTGGGCACGGCCCGTGGTTCAGGCCTTCTCGTGGCGCCCCCTGGCGGCCGATCCCGCCCCGGCGCGCCTTCTGGCCGGAAGTGGGGTGGGGGAGGGGCGTGGGGCGGGCGGGCACCGGAAATGGTTTCAACAGAGGCCGACCGAGAGCAGCCGGGACCTGGATGGCGGTGCTGCGACGTCTCTAGCCTGCGCGGCGTGAATGAAGGAGCTCCAAAGAACTAAGTGGTGGGCCGAAGAGAGGCTTCCGCCTGTCGTGCAGGCCGGGCTCCGTTCTCGTTTGCCTTTTCTTTTTCATTTTCCCGGCTCCTTGCTTCTTCCGAGCGGACCTTCAAAAGCGGCCAGGCCACCCCGAAGCCCTTCGCACACCGCAGGCCCAGGGCCCGAGCGATCCCTCCGCGCCCGCTCTCCGTACAGCCCTAGACGAAGCTCTTCCCCTAAGACGAACTTGACCATTGCAAACTACTGTTTTAAGAGCCTTGCCAGTCTTGGGTGTGCTGCAGCATGCATGAGTTTATAAACGGCGGCCAATCCCAATCCGATTTTTTCCCTTTCCTTTTTTAACAGTTTTGTGAGCATTTCATCCACACGTCACACAATTCAGTAATTCAGTCATAGCAAGAAGAATTAGACCGTGGTCACCCTCTTCAATTCTAGGGCAATTTTGTCATCCTTGTTCAGATTTTTTCCCCCTGTAAATTCCTGGCTCTTCTCTATTTAAGCTCTGAGAAAAATCCCCTTTTACAGCAGCCCCCTGGGGAAGTCAGCGTCCTTGAGTGATGAAACTCAGCGCCTCACTGCAGCCTGTGACCAGCCAGAACCCTGAGAAAACTGTCAGAACGTGACATGGACCTTTCAATTTAAGGGTGGCACGTAAAAGACAAGTGCTTTCCAGTGTCTCCACTCTTGCTATCGGCTTACCTGGATTGGACCCCGGAATAATTAAATGGGTTAAAGAGCCTTATTTTTGCTCTTTTCCTTCCACGTGCCACCTTGATCCTGGTGTCACCATGGGCCGTCACCCTGCCTGATGTTACCACCGGTGTGGTAAGAGCAAGCCCTACCCAGAGACCCACTTCTGTCGAGGTGTCCCTGGTGCCAAGATTCACATCTTTGACCTGGGCCAGAAGAAGGCAGAGGTGGATGAATGCCTGCTGTGTGGCCACATGGTGTCAGATGAGTACCAGCAGCTCTGCTCCGAAGCCCTGGAGGCTGCCCGCATCTGTGTTGACAAGTACATAGTGAAAAGTTGTGGCCAAGATGCCTTCCACATCCGAGTGTGGCTCCACCGCTTCCACATCATCCACATCCACAAGATGTGGTCCTGCGCTGGAGCTGACAGGCTCCAAATGAGGTGTTTTGGGGAAACCTCAAGGCATGGTAGCTAGAGTCCACATTGGCCAGGTTTCTCATGTCCATCCACACCACGCTTGTGATGGAGGCTTTGTGTCCATGTCCATCCACACCAAGCTTGTGATGGAGGAGCATGTGATGGAGGCCCTACGCAGGGCCAAGTGCAAGTTCCCTGGGCGCCAGAAGATCCACATCTCCAAGAAGTGGGACTTCACCAAGTTTAATGCTGATGAGTTTGAGGAGCTGGTGCTGAGAAGCGCCTCATCCCGATGGCTGTGGAGTCAAGCACATCCCTCACCGTGGCCCCTTGGACAAGTGGTGGGCCCTGCGTTCATGAAGGCCTGGGTCGCCAAGCGCTGCCTCACTTGTACCCACCAAATAAAAATTGAACTTCCTGATTAAAAAAAAAAAGAGCCTTATTTTTCCAAATTGGTACCTCAAGTCAGGGCTTCATTCACCAGATATAGATTCCGTGGTGGGAGAATATGATTGTTAGAGGGAGTGGCAACTTAACTGGCCCATGGTTCTCACTGATTTGACACTTAGGATCTTAGGATGTATTCATCTCCCATGATGAGATCTGCTCTGTCAATCAGCTGAAAAGTATGGGAAACAGAAGGATTTCTCCCAAGTTGTCTCCCCCAAATATATGCCAAACTTAGCTGCTTGCGAATGACTATACACTTGGAGGTCATCAGGAGTAGATCAGGGGTCATTCTCCCTAAGAGAATTGCCAATTTTTTAAATAAGTTCTAGCAATTTTTTTTATTGAGTCTTTGGGACTATTTTTGTTTTGTTTGTATGGTGGATTACATTGACTTTTTCTAATACTGAATCATACTTGCATAGCTGGTATGAATCTCATTTGAATCATAATGTGTTTTTAATGTGTTTTTAATTCTGTTGGAAATTTTTTGTTGAAAATATTGGCGTCTACATTCATGAGGTATATTGGTCTATAATTTTCAATTCTGGTGATGTCTCTGCCTGACTTAGGCATCAGGGCCATACTTGCTTCATAAAATGAGTTTGGAAATATATTATCCTTTTTATATTCTGAAATAGTTTGTGTAGGATTAGGGTCAACTTTTCTCTACATGACTGATAAACTTCCCCAGTAAAGGCATCTGGCCCAGGACTTTTTTGATGGTGGGATTGTTTGAATGACTAAATCTATTTCTTCTTGTCTTATAGTCTGTTAAAGTTTTCTATATCAATCTGTGTTGATTTATGTAGGTCATATGTTTCTAGAAATTGTGTTTTTCTAACTTTTCAAATTGGTTGGAATATAATTTTTCATCATATTGGGTAATTATCTTTTTTATTTCTGTTGTGATGTCACCTGTTTCATTTCTTATCAAAGGTATTTGTTTTTTGCTCCTTCTTGTCTTTGTGCTGGTTTGCCAGTGACATGTCAATTTTGTCAGTCTTCCTGAAGAAACAACTTCACGTCTTGGTGATTTAAATTTTTTTTTCTTTTCTGACTCATTTATTTCTGCTCTAATACCCCACCCCACCCGACTCTGGTGTCTGAGTGCTTGCTTTACTAGTGTTCTAATTGCAGGCTTTGTGCAAAGGCGTTTATTTTCATTCTTCCTCTTTGGTGTGTGCGATAATTTGCCCTTGGAGAGCTGCTTTAGCCGCGCCCCAGAGACTCTGATATGTTGTATTTTGTGCTCATTTGTTTCAAGCATTTTTTAAAAGTAAGTTCTTTATTCCTTGAATTACTCTGTGGTTTTTATGTACAGTGTTGTTCAATTTTATGTTATTGATTTTGGTCCTTGTTGTCAATTTTCCAAGGGCAAACATAGTGAAAAACACTCACAGTCCAGAAGGTAAAACCGAGGGCTGGAACCTCCTGAAACACTGCATGTATGCACATTAAAAGAACACAAAGAGAATCCATAGCTTGAGAAACATATTTGGCAATAATAGGTCAAATAAACGGCTGATCTAAAAATGGTACAGAAAATTACGACACCTTAATGAGAAAAACACAAATAACCCAAATATTTTTGAATGGGCAGAAGACATGAGTAGATGAGTCACTAAAGATGACATTCAGGCATCCAACAACCATATGAAGAAATGCTCATGATCATTCGCTTTAAGTGAAATGCAGTTAAAACAAGAGAGACCACTTCACACCGACACTAATAGCAATGTCACTGAATTATATATGTAGAAATGGTTGAATAGCTGTTTATTTTGCTTTGTATATATTTTTGCTGAAGGGAAATTTTTATTATGGATGGTATACTGTTATTAAATGAATGTTAACGTTTGTTTGTTTGTATGGTAATAGTATTCTGGTTGTATGGGAAAATGTCCTTGTTCTTAGGAGACATTTGCTATTGTATTGGGGGGGGGGGGGATTCTCAGTCACGTGGTTGGAAGAGAGAGCGTATGCTCCAGTGGCACAATGATGAAGCACTTAGCTGTTGTGTCTTGTTTTCTAGAGAAACAAAACCAGTGACACTCATCTATGTTCAAGAAGGAACTTTATATCAAACAGAATTTATAACAACACAGCTGCAGAGGGAGCAAGTTCAGTTCCGCTCTAGTCCATGGATCAGAGGCCAGCTGGACACCTCTGTCTCACAGACCTAGACCAAGGAACTAGGAGAATGAGGCAGGAGGCAAGAAGGCTGCAAACCAGTAGGGGCAAAGTCAATTGGACCCAAGGCAGGAAGCGTGGCACCTATCAACTGCTCCCTGGGTGGGCAGGCCACATGGGGGCAACTAACCTCAGGTGCAGAATCCAAGCAAGGGCGAAGAAGGGCAAAAGAGAGGCCAGTTCTCCTCCTCGGCTCTTTTAAAAAGGCCTCATCCCCAAGGTTTCATCAGGCTCCAATCTGATTGAGAGGTGAGACCCCACTCCTGCCTTCCCACCAGTGCTGTCAATTGGACACAAAATCTAACCATCCAGCAGCGAAGTACAAAATCAAAATCGGCAGTTTGAACCTGAGCGGCTCCTCAAGAGAAAAACAATTCTAGTTATCTGCGCCTGTGAAGATTATAGCCTTGGAAACTCTATGTGGCAGTTTTATCCTGTCCTTTATGGTCACTGTGTGCTGGAATTGATTTAACAGCACACAACACAACAACATAAGTGAGGTTATATGAAATGCATATTATACATTATTAAATCCCAATCCTGAAACGATGGTACTTCTTCTCAAGTGCCCATGTATATAAGTCTGGGTTGACTAAAGAAATTCAGGGACACTCAAAAGTGTGTAAGAGAGAGCTTCATATCAATGAGCAATTGTATTGAGAAAAGATCCCAGTCCAGATCGAGTCCATAAGTTTGATATTACCCCATATGTCCAACACTAGTCAATAAATTAGACTCATGTAGCATAAGCAATGATGCCGAATGCAGGAAGATCACAGGCTGGTGGGTGAAAAGTCTTGTGGATCCTATGCCGGCAGAAGCATCTCGGTCCAGGTGCGGGTCTCCATGTGGCTCCTCAACAGGACGGTGAAGCAGAGAGAAAGAGGGAAGTTCCCAGAATCCACAGGAGAAGGTCATGCCCACAAGGAGGCAACTTCAGGATGTGACCTCATTGACAAGCTAGACTGCACCCCTCCACTTATTTATCAAGTTGACATGAAATTATGTTACTATCACACCATGGGATCTTCAGCTAAATCAACCACAGTCGATCACAAAGAAAATCTACATAAAGTCCGTAGATTAGAAAGAGCCCCCCAGAAGAATTCACTTCAGCGGACAGCACTGAAGCTACAGCTCAGGGAGAGGGACATATCTGATCAGAGCACACAGAAGCAAATGAAGTGGGAGGAAGAGAGAGTGGAGCACATGCTGGCCCATCAAGGCTTGAGGACAATATTCCCGCTCTGAGCAGCCAATACACAGGACCATATGGCCAGCCCCACTGTGAGACACGACATGCCTCACTGACTGATAGCCCTACAGGGGACAACACTGGAGACACAGTGTGGGAATTTCGTCCCATCTGACCCCACCACACCAAGGGAAAACACTAAGGGCGTGCAACAGAACAGCAAGGGGAACAGAGGAAGTCCCAAGGGCGTACCAAAAATAGACTTTGGGGCCAGGGTGTGGCACCCCATCA